ACACACAGACACGCACACACACAGACACACACACACACACAGACACGCACACACACACAGACACACACAGACACACAACAGACACAAACACACACAGACACAGACACACACACACACACAGACAGACACACACACACACACAGACAGACACAGACAGACAGACAGACACAGACAGACAGACAGACAGACAGATAGACATGCATCACCCACACGCTCACACACACACACACACACACACCCCACACAAAAACACACCCGATCTCCCGCACGCAGGCACACACACACACACACAGAGACACCTCCACACACACCCACGCAGGCAGGCACGTGCACGCACTTACACTGTCGCTGGCTGCATTACGATGCAGGCAGTCACTCTTCAAATTCGTGTCTACCAAGGTATGGAATGAGTCCAACTTATCCAACTTGTTTGTGTGTATGAAGCACGCCATGTCACCAGCCACTCATCTGAGATTTGTGCAGTCTCGAGATTCGCGCTGGCGCGGTGGAGGAGCCGCAGAACCTGGAGCAACTGCGCTCTCAGCTCCGACGTTCCGCCTGGGCTAGGGCCCAAAAAGCCGCGAGGCCTCCCCGTGCCCGGCATGCGCGGCCAAGATCAGCGGAGTCCAGCCATGCTCATCGGCCTCACGCCAAGGTCGATGTCGCCACATGATGCCGCTAGGGTAACTTGGGTCGAGCCCGGCTCGTCTTTGCTTCGTGCATTGTTTCTCCATGCTTTCAGATCTTCTCGTTCCCACACCAATTACACATACGAAACGACCCAATGACCCCTCCCAGTGCGTGCGGCTGATGCAGTGAAGCCTTGTGAATCTTTGGTCTTTGGCCCTTCTGCGGAGATCCGAGACTACTACATCATAACCTGGTTTTTCCTGACAGACCTCTTACTTGGATCCGCGGAAGTCCGAGTTCCCCTAGGGCCAAGGCAATCAGAGAGCCTAGCGTCTGCTACAGTAAGAATCTGCTAGACAGAAATATGGGGGTTTCCGAAAATAGGGGACGCTAATATAGTACCCTAAATAATAGGATCCTTATTATAAGGACCCCAAAATAAGGTACCCTAACTTTTGGAAACTCCCATATCTTCCCCCACATCCCAAAAGCCTGGTTCGGGTCCGCTGGGGCACTCAAAGCTTGCTCGACGGCGCGAAGGTCGCCGTGCCGAGCTGCCTCCTGGCAGGGAGGGCTTCTGGCGAGGAGCGTCAGCTCAAGTCAACCGACAAGCACCACAGCATTTAATTCCTGGATCGGAATATTCGGAATAATTTTCTGTGATGTTTGAGTCCCAAAAGCCATGTCGGCTACCTGCAAGACCGGAGCCACTTCGGGATGGAAGGAATCCACCACCAGAGTGAGACCTCGGAGCTCTTGAGCCATGCCGTTACAAACTGGACATGTGCAGTCAGAACTGAGTTTATAGTACTTCTGGGCCACAACAAAAAGCAATTACGGGCGAGAGTGTTGAAGAATCTAAAGATGTAGGAGAGAGGGGCATCATCGGCAGTAGCCCCCTGTCAGAAGCTGAGGTCGAAACTTATAGGGAAAGGCAGCGAGGACAAAGCATCCTCAATGTCAGCAAGGGGTTCTGGGCAGGACATGCACCTCAAACTACCGAGGTGCACGGGACTGTCTGTGCAATGCCGGCTTCGGAAAGCACCGTAGTCCGCTGAGACCGGCGGAACAAAGCCGTTCACTGGCTGCATCAACTCCAGTCACTCGTCGCTGCATGTATGCACAGCAGATCGCCAATGCATCAGTACATGCCACACATGTAGACCTGTGAGCGCATACTACGTCACTGACAGTTTCGGAGGCACATCCGTTTTCTGTCACAACAGAAATCAGCCACGGTTCTGTAGACTGGAGCAGCGAGTGGCCCAGCATTACCTCTCAAGAAACACTGCATGCTGCTGTTTCCGCAAGAAGTTGTGGTTCTCCGACAACGGAATCTAACCCATGCCCACATGTGCCAACACAGTCACCATGAAAGTCACCACCTTTTTTGAGACAATCTTCTTCCTGCAAATACCAGCGGTGATTCAAACGGCTACAACCTTAAACCTCAACGAGGTTCGCACAAAGCGGAGCACTTGTGCAAGTCGTGCCGATGTGGCAGTCTGAAGTGAAAAGGACAGTGCCTTCTTAGCTTTGCGTGTTTGAGCCCTTTGTGTCATGCAGCTGATGCGCAGCTCCAAACTGTCGGTTCGACATGAGGTCGTACAAACCATTCGGTAAGGGCAATAGCAATGCGACCGAGAAAGCCACAGCACTGCTTCTGTAGATCCAAAGCTACAGATCAGCAAACTCACATCCATTACGGGCTGGTATTTAGTGCGATGATGTGCGATGCAAACTTGTAAGCCCTGGCGCATGGGCGATCTCCCTCAAGGCATCTGACCTCCCAAAGGCATTTCCGCAGAGTGCCTTTTGGCAGAAGTACGGAACGTCACAGGTCTCGTTCAGAAGGAGCTTCCTTCAGTCTGAAAGACGGATCAGGGAAGGCTGATAGCAGCTGCTGTCTCTGTGTCTGTGTTTGTCTGTGTGTGTGTGTGTGTGGGGGTGTTTTCGATTCTGTGTGTGTGTGTGTGTGTCGGAAAGAGCCGTCTAGGCAGTCTAGGCTTCGCATGACTCGTCGTTGTCTGCAAGCGGCTCCTCTTCGAGCACAGTAACTAGTTTCCAAGAGCTTGGACATGTAGCGCACAATCCGGGGGTCATATGAGCGTGGGTCTACTCACCACAGGCTGCAGACTTCCAGAGACTCCTCCTGTCCTAAAAGTGACTCTATACATGCCCATGGCATGAATGGTTACGCACCAGAATTCCAAAGCCGAGGCCTTCTGACTTGATGCCAAGACCAAGTGGCAGTTCGTGCACAGTGGCTTCTGATGCCACCGCAAGCTCCACTGGCTCGCCGGTGAGGCGGAGGACCCGCACCTTGTGGGTATGAGAAGTCGTGGTCTCAAAGCCACAGAGCCGCATGATATGTCTCACAACGGTACTGTCGCACAAGTTTTCTCTGTCCAGTGTTGCCGAGTCCAGCCCAGCCTGCAGGGCATCCGTAGTCATCGCCGCGGAACATGGAACATAGCATTGTTAGATCTAGTCGGGTCGTCTGTGCAAGTAGCACTCACTGTTTCAAGTGCCATGCCCGATAAACGACCCTGCTCTACGAAATCACCCACTGGTTCGACAGGTTCGACAGGTCCACGTTTCGACAAGATAAACACTTGAGACTGTGAGAAACGCGGGTGGTGATGAGTCTAAAGACATGCCGCCGCCGAGTTGGAAGGGGAGCCTACAACGGGCCTGCGTTGATAGCGCATCTGCACCTTTTTTGCCTCTCTTGTAGGGCTCTCTCTCCTCGTCTCTGCGACATCTCTGAACAACCTGGCTTGCGTCCCTTCGGGACGGCTGGCAGTCCCATGAGATGTCCAGTATGGGCCCCATTTTGAGCCTTCACAGCCACTTAGAGCTGTGCCAGTTCTCCATGGTCGAAAGATTCGCTGGAACACAGGTGCAGATATGGCCCGAACAAGCTTTGACTTGGACTTGCGAGGTTTAGCTGGGCTGCTCACTCGGGTAGCGATACTGAAAGCTTTGGATCTGCTAGCGTCTGCCAACTAATCCAGATCATATCAGCAATATACACAGGTTCGGCAACATGCACGTAACCAGCTATGGCCCAATCAATCTCTTGACAGAGATGTTGTGCATAGTAAGCGCGCTAGCTGTTCCTAGTTTTGCGGCACATTCAAGATTCTCAGACAATTCAAGCAGCAGGTTGTTGCTACACGTTCATATTGCCTGACCGATTCTTTGCCGTTCCACCGGTTCGTCAAACGGCAGCGCAAGCACAAGTAGCTAATGAAACTTGTCATTACTTCGCCTAGAAATGTGCTTTCAATCCAGTGCTTTCTGCCTCCAGTTTCGCGCTTGAGATACACTTAACTTCTGGCATCCTCTGCCAACTCTTCCAAAAAGAGTTTCAGCTAAAGCGGAGACTCGTCTGAGGGAAAGATGCGTTGCAACGCGTGAGTGCAGCGGCGAAGGAAGCACGTTGAGAATAGGGCCGGCTCATGTATCTGCAGCTGCAACTGCTGGAGCTGAGGTTCGGCTTATTGCCGCCCTCTTCGTAGGATGCTCCGCAGGCGAGAAACGATGTCGGCTGGTCGGGCATACCCCATAAACATGTTGCTCACCATGAGCCCTGCGTTCTCTTGCGTTGAACAGCAAAATGTGCAACGGGGAGAAACGCATAGTAACCGTGAATCCAAGGCGAATAGGCGGGCCAACATGTACTTCGAGGGGCGCTGCACCGTTGAAATGCCTTTGGCTTCAATTTCGGGCAGGAGAATTTAACCTGTCTGTGATCGATCTCATGCAGTTTGGGAATACAGTGTGCATGGTAAACACTCCCGCCAACCCTTCGCTTGCAACCGCTTCAAATCTCCACTCTTGTAGAATTTGTGGAAGGCCAGTCACCTTGGCACAAGCATGTATGTACATATATATTCTGTATACATATATAAATATATACATACACATATATACATATATACATACATACATATATATATATATACATATATATATATATATATATCATGTAATGTTACATGCACGAACAGTGGTTTCGGCACTTGCTGTAGAACGCTTCGATGTAGTGCTGCTCGGCCATGCGACCACAATGCGCTTTTGCTTTCTGCACCTACGAGTATTGGACTTCGGTGTCTGCACCAAACTCGCGGTTTGGCACAAAACTCACTCCTAAACGCTTACAGCCAATACTAACGGATGTAGCACCTACCTGTCACCTCAACTATCCATAGCACTGGTGGTACCACCAAGAAGCACTGCTGTCGCTGAATGTCTGGGGGAAAGAGATTGAGGCGAGGATTCACGGGGAGAGACCGGCCATCTCCCTGCTCCTAGGGGCCTGACGTCGTCCACTTGTTGGTGCAGGGGGCCTTGCAGACAACACTCTTTGTCTAAGGGCTTTAGGAGGGACCCTTAATAGGGACCCTTGTAGGTTATTGGGGTTAATATGGTCCTTATTAGGGGTCCCTCCTGAAGTCCTTAGCCTCGTCTTGATGTGACTAGGCCAACACACGTGAGATCTGCCTGCTCGGCAGGTCTCATGGTATTATGATGTGTCATGTCTTCTTATCCTTGCTTATTCACAGTGAAAGCAACCGCAACTGCTAGAACGCATTCGAAGGCCGGGGCATGCTGCCCGGAAGAGAGAGACCCACAGAGACAGCGCCCGCTTGTCAGCACTTGGCCGCGGGCGGAGGGCGACTGTGCGCAACAGCGAGTCGCATGGCCCCCAAACGGGCAGCTTCCTAAACACAGCAGCAAAACATAGAAACGACTTCGGCAGCCCTGCAAGGACTTCCCGGCCTGCTCCTGTTGAGGCATCTTGCTGGCATCAGCCAGGGTTGTGGTGAGGTACGGGCTGCCTGAGCCAAACATAGCCAAACATCGAACTCCTTGCGTCTTCCTTTGCCTTTCTGGGCAACGTCGCTGCCCATTTGCTGAGTGCAAGGCTCACCTGCGAAGCTGGTCGGAGCTGCTGGGCGGATTGTTGTCCTCAGGGATGAACCCGCAGCGAAGTGGGTACGACTCCCTGTCGAGAAAGATTCCACTCAGGGACTGCGCATGTCTATGTTACGTCTATACTATAGTTGTGCAGCGTGTGGGTCGAGGGTGCGTGTGTGTATGTGCAATTTGTTATTGTTTGCACATCCGCAGAACTTCGTTCCTTGTGTGGCGCACATCTTTTCCTGGTGAATTCAAGATGTTGGCAAAGAAAAAAGGCTCCAGTGCAGTCTTGAAGAAACCTTTGCAGCTTCTCACCTGAACTAATCCACACGCACATGTCTCAACATGGTGCAACACAGCCTCCTAAACTGAAGCAAGATCTTCTCTCCCTCCGTGTCCTCGCGCTAAGTAGGGATGTGCCTGTCCTTTGCCCGGGGTCTGCTGGGACTGGGATCCCGACCTGTCGGCAGCAGACTGAGCAGCTGATCAAATTTGAACTACTTCATGGTTGGGGTAGTATTTAAAAATCTAAACTTATATTCCTTATTGGGTTTAAGTACAATTAAAAATGTAAAATGTTACCCAACTATGACAAAGTGAAGACTCAGGAATCTGCATTTGATCCCGCTTAGCCTGCTGCAAAAGCGAATCGAAGATAGATCGGCATCCTAATTGTCCTATTTGTTTCCAGTCTCACCCTGTGTGTCCATTCCCTTTCGAACTGCTTTCACATGTACAACAGAACATGTGTAGCGGGCACCTACATTGCTTTCGATCTCCGTTCTGCTCGGGTCCCGAAGTCTGCGAACCCAGAAAAGAGCAACTCACTGCGCGCCTGATACAACCACGCTGTGGGCTGATGGTCCTCACAGCGATTGCCCTGCCTGGCGTTATAGATATGCACGAAAGGAGTGGGGGAGGAGCTACAAACGGCTTCAAAGATCAGCTAGGGCAATAGTTCCGACATCTAAGACTCTAAGATGATCTAATTCAGATGGAAGTGCTCAACACTCGACAGGAGCCAGGGCACCACACGCAACAGTATCATTCCTGCAGATCACGCCCGAGCAACGTTCTGAAGCGTAGCTACAGGCGTCATCGAAGGCTCTCCAACATCACTTGTGAATGCTGGCCTGGTGGCAAAGCTAATGTCAAAGGAACCTGCCACCGGCAAGCATCGTAGGGCTATGTAGAGGCTTGGCTTCACGCTGTTTCGTCAACGTAGGAGACGCAGCGAGAGCTTAACCAAGCCCATTTCGTGCCGCCTGGTGCCCAGGCTTTGGTGGCTTCGGCAGCCTGCAGTGACAGAACTGAGGCTCAGGACATGGGTGCACATGCGCCGAGGCAAGTTCAGAGGCGCTGGCAACATATAATGTGTTGCTAACTGTGCGTCTTAGGGCTTGGGTGAGTCTCAGGTGAGAATCAAGCGCAGCAGATGTGCAGGGCTAGGAAGCAAGCATGAGACAACCTTCTCCACAACGGGTAGCCCCAAGGGACTGCGCTATTCTGTGGCCCTGAATGCTGCCGCAGTCGCCGAGCAGGATCCGGGTTCATTCCTGTCGGCAGCATGGATTGGCTTCACTGGGCATTTTCCCACCTCACGCATTCCCGCGCTCTTTCGGGCTGGCCTGGCAGTGGAAAGGCACGTGGCGACATCGCTGCCTTCGCAACGATTGGGCGCAAAAACTTAAAATATAACGATGTCAGAGCTGAACGCATAAAGTGAGCTGACCGATGCATGGCCAAAACGGACCACGAGCCAAGGGCGACCTGAAGGATCCTAAAAGCTTGCCATCGAAAGTTGCGAGCCTAATCTCCGAGCTACAGGACATCAAGATGCCAGCCGACAGAATCCGGCTTAGACTGGAACAGCACTCGAACGAAAGCATGCAAGCAGCAGGACTACACGACCTCGTGGGTGCCCACACTACGGGTATGGTGTTGCATCCTTTGGCCTACGTTCTTGCGAGTAATGTTTGTCCCTACTGGCGCAGCCCTGGCAGGAGGATGAGAGCATGCCATGCATAGGAACACTTGGCATTCTGAGCCGCACGAAAAATCAAAGAGCCCATACCATCTCGCATCGGTCCTGCACCGGCACTCCACGTAGGGGAGACATCTCCTCGAGAGGCCAACTTGGAAAGTGACTTCGAGCTGTAAGCTCTTCAGATTTGATATCTCCCCACACCCATGCGAAGAAGTTGCAGCGACAAGAGAAAGAACAGACAGTCGTCCCATTTGGGGGTTTCCGAAAATAGGGGATCCTAATATAGCACCCCAAATAATAGGATCCTTATTGTAAGGACCCCAAAATAAGGTACCCCTAATTTCCGCAAACTCCCAATATATATCTACTATTTAGGGAACTATACTAGGGTCCCCTAATTTTCGGAAACCTCCATTTTGGAGCAGAAGCTGCGCTGGGCGCAAGCTTATGGTGGCCCGGGACCTGCAGCCAAGAAGCTGGCCGAAAACACGAAGAAGGGCTTCGGCTTGGCGTCGGTTTGACTTCCTCCAAGAACTCTCTCTCTCTCTATATATATATATATAGATATATATATATATACATACAGATATATAGAGAGAGAGAGAGATATATATATATATATATAAAGTCTCGACTATCATAGCGCAGGTCGGCCAGTTTCTGCAAATCTTTGCACTGTACATGCACGGCCAGCATTCTCCTCTGCCTCTTTGCCGCAGGTCTCGTCGGCCTTCTTGCTGTCTTCCTTGTTCGGCTTGAAACACCAGAATGGGACATGCTTCACAACTTTACATTGCCAAATACTGTCACTGCGGGCTGCGGGAATACGGCTCGCGCTTTCGAATGTGTCCGGGAGTTTTACTACGGGCCTACCATGTCTGACAAAACCCTCCAAGCTCATCTTGCGTGAATCTCCGTGAAGGGATGTGCGAGCCGTCACAGATGAAACTAACCGGCTGCCGCAACGGATGCCGGATCCTGTGTCCATCTGGACTATGCCAGAAAGTGGGCAGCTCGAACAAAGCAGGACTACTGGCCGGCTTGCATTAATCTCCTGAAAAGGAGTATCAGCTACTTTGACAAGTCCCACGAGTGCTCGATCACCAGCCCAGACTGCCACATATCAGAATACGCCTCCATGCAGTCTTCATTGACGATCAGTTTCAACAAAGAAACTCCCGAAGAGTACTGAGATGAGACATGAGCCATCAACTTATTGACCCATTGAGGGTCCGTAGCGGTGGCGAAACATTTGCTCCAACCACAAACTGCACCCAGCCAGTTTCACGACAGCGACCTAGCAAGCAGTGTAATCACCCACTAATCCGGGGCGGCACCGTCTAAGTCCACCCCTTCCGCCAGGATGACCGCCAAAGCAGCTCATGGGAAAGCAGGGTGCTTTGCAAAACATGCTGCCGCGATCACGCCATCCATCTCAATCAGAGCCCAAGCGAGCAGCTTTGGTTCAATGGGGCAATTGAATACTGCGGCGGAAATGTCAACAACTGAACAATCTCTGCCGAACTATGCTCCGTCATGTTGGCAAACACAACCGGGACCTGGAGCAGGGTCTCAAAGGCTGTGGGCTGACTCCGGACAGCCGTCCGCTCTCCCGTCAAGCTCTAGGCCAGGAGCGCAGTTTCAAGATCTCTTCCCACCCACCAACATTCAGGCCAACCCTTTCGAGAGAACATTCCACAGCCAGGGGTCCACTTTGTTCTCCCCGGCTTCGTCATCTGCCTGACGACACCGTCGGTCTAAGTGCTTAAAAGGTTGACCAGCTGGGTTCGGGGGCGCTGCACTCAGTAGATCATATGACGCATCTCACGTACACTTGTACGGGCAGAAAGTCGCTGTCGACATGCCAGCAAGCCTCCGTGGAGTTCGCAGTGTCGGGTGTCTGCGTGGGACCCTCGGATCCACAGAGAGCCTTAGTCCGACGCTCTCTGCACAAACCAACCACGCCAAGGGCGAAGGCCCTCTTCATCAGCCGGCCACTTCACAAACTAGCACACCCTGGACTCATGGCGTAATTATATACTGTGCTTCAATGCTGTAATGCCAAAATGCCTCTTGCATTTCCGTCGCCATGATCGGGGCATCCTTGGTCACGCAGCATCCCCCGTTCCGTGTGGGGCTTGCAAGACAAGCACTGTGTCTACCATGCGAAGAAGTAGCTGAGTTGAAAGTGCGAAATTCTGGCATGGACCCAAACAACTGGATGGTCACAAGAACCGCATGCAACACTGCTGTCCGAGAATCATCGCCTGTTCCTGTTTCACTGACCGTCTTGCCAGCATGGTCCTGTACACTATCCATACAGGTACGAGTCTACAGAACTTCGAGCCAAGCCCTTATTGCATCCTTATTGCTGCATGTTCGGCCGAGTTCAGTTGGTGCTTCGGCACCCCTATCCTGTCCAACCCTACGTCAGAACTCAATATAGCGCCTCTGCATGCGTGCTTGTCGGAGTTTCCTCCTGCAGGCTTGACCTTGGAATCGCTTTGGAGGGCAAAAGCAAGGCGGAAGCTTGGGGCAAAGTCTGCAAAGCAGTTCGAACATGGAGGAAGGATCAAGCGATTTGTCTTCCTGCACAAGTACGCATGCTGCACGTGTAGGTTCAAAGTAGATGTCGCCATACACTCTCCAGGCAGTGCAGTGGAGCAGGCTGCGGCTACAGGGGTTAGCGTCAGTTTGTAAAGAAATTGCATCTGCAAAGCACGGGCACCCGAGGCGAAGTTTGTGATACCAATTCTGCCTACGCGGCCGGTCAAACAGCGATGGCATGGATGCTGACGAGGTCATGTCCTGCAAGGCTGTGCTTTGCTGTTGGGTCCCGCATTCCCGAAAGACGATGTCACAGCGCAGCTGTGTGTTATACGCAGGCTAGGCGAGCTAACCCTGCCACCAAGCGTAGCCCAAGCAGCGTGACAACCAAATCTTACCTCGGCTACGAGAAGCCTCAAACTGCTCTGTAGGTGTCTCTCTACATTTGCGCTGATCAGATTGCTAGGCCGGAAATGGGTTAGCAGCAACCCTTGCTCCGGTCTCCTGTCTGAATTTCCGAGTCCCGAGTCCCGAACTTGAAGAATTTTCTTGCCCAATGCCACTTATTCGCTCGTGTGCAACTGGGGCTACAACAACTGTTGTCTTATTCTTATCCCGTTCCTCCCTGCAACACTCCTGGCTTCGGAATTCGGTGGTTCTTGTCCTGTCCCGCTCATCTGAAGAATGACTTGGAACCAACTGAATCGCACAGTGCGCATGATGAGTGCAGCACGATGCCTGCTCTGCGTGCCAAGATTCTAAGACGTTACATGTTGCCCCTCATGAGTACTACGGTGAAGTATGTCGGGACAGCACGACCTGTCTGCTGACATCTGTCTGTTTGACTAAGCCGGTCTCCGATAACGACACAATAGAGTCGTGTTACCCTAAAACCGTAAAACTTTCACTGCATGGTGGCGGCGTCCCCAATGCACAACTGTACTTCGCAAGTGAAGCCCACCGCGTCGCGGCCCCACATCCGACAGTTTACAAATGCTTCAGATCCACAGCATGCTGTGGGGCTCGGAATACGCGAGTGGAAACCCAGAAAGGTGCACGGGATTCGGGCTGCATGGAGTGGGCCGTCTGCCGATGGACAACGAGCTCGAAGTTACACGCATGCCCTCAAATGCCGACTGACAGAGACACAGAATCAAGCACACAGGGATGTATGTCCATCAAGATCCAGCATGACTTAACAGATGCGCGCCCATAAGCATTGAAACGCGGCCAAGACATACTTCGAGATTCCAGTTCCTTTCCAAGCAGTTCGGAAGTCTATTTCTTTCTATCTGCATTCACTGAAGAGGGTTTCGCTGAACCAGCACTCGAAGAAATGTCAGACTCAAGCAGGTACAGTGTGCCCGATCTGAGGCCAAGCTGTAGTTCATTCGGCGATGCCTTGATGGGGTCTCTTCCCGCATACTTGCCTCGCCAGGCAGAAAGTGGACAATGCGACTTTTTGTTACAAGCGACTCGGCTACTTACAATGCTATGCAGACCGAATCCTGCCTCTTCCGAAGTTGTCACCTTCCCAGCCATGTGCATGTTCACCGCATCGTCTGGGCGTGAGACGCAGGCTCGCTTTTCACTATAGTGCTGCCAGGCACTACTTCAAAAAGGCAAGCTGCACCAGGCGTAGAACATTCTACGACCTCCAAAACTGCACCCCAAAGCCTTCAGCTAGATTCAGCTAGATCAGTGCAACTCGGACCTAGAACTGTCTTCTATATTTGTTGACTGAGCTGCCGGAAGGAAGGATCACTTTCATGTCTCACAATATGGCTGATCCACCAAGTCATAACGTTGAGACGACTGGCTTAAGTGGCTGCATAGCTCGGCACGCATCGAAGACTCCATAGCAGCGATGGAGGACTGCAAATCCTGCCACAGGTTTGGTTGCTGAGGGCTTGGGAGTTTCACAACGCAGGGTAGAATTTGCTTCAGGTGGGTGCGCACTGGCTCGGTGGTCGTGCTGGCATTTGTCCAGCGGCATGACCCTGACTCCGCAAAGAATAACGTGTTTTCTGAACCTCTTTATCCTCGAAGCTGCACTGATGTGCACTGCGAACATAGTCGCAAAGACCACGCGCGATGATAGCCAGCTGTCCCCTATGATAGCTCCCTCCGTGAAAACAGCACAACAAAGCCGCATATCCACCTCTCTTGGACAGCAGAGTGTCCGCGCTGTGGCGTCGAGTGATGGGTCATTGCAAACCCTTCAAGACGGGTAAAACTGGCAATGTGGCACCGCGTTTAGTGGCCAACCCCCTCTCCTCCCCACTGTAAAGGGGGACAGACTCTTGGGGGGAGGGGGGGTGTAGTACGGTGGTAGCAAAGTAGCAATTCAATTTTTTTGAACCCAGACTCTGCCAATCAGGTGGGAAGCAGCACTCCCAAGTGGCAATTCAATAGTAGCCATACGGTGGTATATAGCATATAAAAGATGTGGTGGTGCAGCGGCTGTCTGCCGCAGCAGTTGCAGCAGCAGCAGTTGCAGGAGGAGTCGTAATAGCATCGAAGGAGCAACAGCAGCAGCAGCAGCAGCAGCAGCAGCAGCAGCAGGAGTAGCAGTAGCAGTAGCAGTAGCAGTAGCAGTAGCAGTAGCAGTGGCAGTGGCAGTGGCAGTGGCAGTAGCAGTAGCCGTGGCAGTGGCAGTGGCAGTGGCAGTAGGAGTAGCAGTGGCAGTGGTAGTGGCAGTGGCAGTGGCAGTAGTAGTATTAGTAGTAGTAGTAGTAGTAGTCGTCGTCGTCGTCGTCGTCGTTGTAGTAGCAGTAGGAGTAGGAGTCGGAGTCGGAGTCGGAGTAGGA